CCTCACCCTTCCCCTTTCTCGTTCTTTTTCTCTTTCCTTCTCCTTCCCCCTTTTTTCTCATCCCCCCTTCCTCATCTCCAAGGGCATTTAAATTAAAGGTACAGTTTTTCCTGCACTAATTTAAAGGCTCTCTGAAGCCAAAAAAACCCCCTTTTTATTTTTTTAACTTCGTACCCAATAAATTCGAACGAATCGAATTTCTTCCTGAAATTCGCTGAAACACCCAAATCAATTTTTGAAAAATTCGCTCATCTCTAGTGCCCAAAAGAGGAGGAATTATTTACACCCCTCCTATTACAATTCATATACAATTGTAAAGGCTGCTTTTTTTGACCATAAAAAATTTTCCCGATCTTGGCTATCATCTCAAACCCCCAGCAGACACCAGTAAATTTGACAGGTAAATCTCCAAAATTAACATTTTAAAAACAAACTTACCAAATTAATTTGCCCCCAGGAATGTAGACGGGAAAGAACGGGCGGGGATACTCCTTGCTCCCCTCCTGGTTAGTTTTTCATAGGCTTATTAAAATCTTATCTCTTTTAGCCCCCATAAAGGAGAACGGCCCATTTGATCCTACTGAATGGTAACAACATGGGGTGCCCATACATGGGGTATGATCCTGTAGAACACGGGCCTCATTGATCGGTGTCACTATCTATGTATGAACTATGGGGTGGAGTTACTTTCCGTGTACAGCTGAATTGGTCTAGGTTTTTCTTCTTTTCTCTGTTCATATTGGTTTATAAAAGGTAAAAGTGACACCATAACAAAGCAAGTTATTGTTCTGTATGATCTGTAAACAGTGCCACAACTGCCTATACGTGAGAATGGTATGACTCCATTGCTCTAGGTGTTCTGAATGTTGGTAAATACTGTGCGCATCTTATAAGAACTTTATACAATCAAATCAATTTTGATTAAAAAATATACCTGTATGATATTGCTCTTTACATATTGTTCTTTCTATGCATAACGATATATTTAGTGATATGATCACATTGAAAAGAGATGTAGCAAGAACTTTATGTAGACATCTTTTATCATAGAATTCTATTCTTGTTCTCTTCTCTCTACAGGTATGATTGATGAACCAGGATATTTTGGTAGATCTTTTTGGTCTTCATGAGTACGAAATGCTGAGTCGCACAGAAAATAAAACACATGGATGTCTTAATTGACTGAAAGTCCTTTACTGCAGTTCACTGGAGGATTTCACACGGGATACAAGTCATTATCTGTGTTCTATAAAGTCATGGTTTGGATCCTCTTTCCACTTTTGATGCCAGCAGGTTATTGAGAAAAAGTAAATTTTCAGTGTTCTACCGGAAGTGACAATGGCTTTACAATAAAGTCCACCCAAGAATACATAAAGAGAGTCATTTCAAAACTACTTGTTTGTAGATTTTAACAATGGAGAGGAAATATATATCACACACCAGAAGGCTTGCAAGGAGAAGAGAAGCCATATCATTGTTCTGAATGTGACAAAACATTTACAAGCAAGAGATACCTTATAATACACCAAAGAGTTCACACTGGAGAGAAGCCATATCAGTGTTCTGAATGTGATAATAAAGCTTTTACAGTGAAGTCACATCTCATAATAGACACCAGAGGATTCACACTGTAGACAGAAAGCCATATCAGTGTGTTCTGGATGTGATAAAGCTTTTACTCATCAAGTCAAGTCTTCTCACACACCAGAGGATTCACACTGGAGAGAAGTCATATCATGTTCTGAATGTGATAAAGCTTTTACAGATGAAGTCACGATCTTATCACACACCAGAGGAGTTCACACTGGAGAGAATCATATCAGTGTTCTGAATGTGAATAAAGACTCTTACTACAGAAGACAAATCTTATCATACCCGCTTATGTTGATTCACACACAGAGTCATATCAGAGTCTGAATGCGAGAGAGGCCTGTTAATCTTATCTTATCAGACACCAGGAGGAGTCCACAGAGAGAATCATATTTACTGACACTGTGAGAAAAGCTTTTAAACACCGAAGTCAGATCCATCAGACACCAGAGGTATTCATCACACTGGAGAGGAAGACCATATCTCAGTGTTCGGTACATGTGATAAAGCTTTTACAACGTGAAAGACAGATTCTTATCAGACACCAGCGGAGTTCTCACCTCACTGTGAAGAGTAGTCCATGTTGCAGATGTCAGAATTGTGATACAGCTTTATTACACAGAAGGTCAGATTCTTATCCAGACACCAGAGAGCCCACACTGAGAGAAGCCATTTTTAATGCTCTCAATGTGACAAAACTTTTTCAGTTAATTGCCGGACTAATCTATCACCGGAGGATTCACAAATTTCATCATAGATTATATTTTGCTGGAAAAAAAAAAGGAATATTAAATCAAGTTTTTAGGTGTCACAAGATAGTTTCACATCCACAAAGTCATCTCCCACAAGCTAGAGAAAGAATGGAAAAGATAAAAATGCTACTATTAAAGAGAAGAAAAACCAAACTAAAATCTGAGCAAAACTGGAATGTAATGATTGGATGAACTGAGTTTAGTGGCTTAAGTCCATCAATACACAACTAGAAGGGATTTGGAATATTTTATATCGCTTGACAATTTGTTTTTAAGATAAGCATCAATAACTGAACTAGCTTCCCCTTTCATGAATCTCATCTTATATCATGAGACTTAGAATGAACATGTAATAGCATTTTCATGATACAAGCAACTGAGTTTTGTGTTTCCAAGCATTTACATTCATTTCTGGATCCAGAGGTAATACATATGACCAACACTACTGCCCTACAGTACCATATGACTAGGAATGGGTCTAATATCTATACCAAGTCTCTGTAAGCCTCAGTGGAAGAGTCCGATTCCAGGTTCTTCTGCACAATTGATACATGATCAGCCAGGCTTTGAGGTCTCCAGCTAAGCCCCACCTTGTCCACTCCTCCCATTTCCTGTTCCATCTCCACCTCCCATTAATCCAAATGCCTTCTTTCCACATTTCATCTCTCATTGATATTATTATTGTTATTATATAGGATTTATATGGTGCCAACAGTTTGCTCAGCCGCTTTAACAATATAACGGGAGACAATACAGTAACCATACAGTTTAATACAAGAGGGATAGGAGGGCCCTGCTCCTCAGAGCTTACAATCTATGGAGGGAGGGACTAGTGTACAAAAGAGTAGTAACTGTGGGGGATGGACTGGTTGGAAGAGTAAAAGATTCTCATTATTAGCCTGAGGGCAGGATAGGCTTCCCTGAAGATATAGGTTTTTTCAGAAATCACCTAAAAGTGAGCAGAGTAGGCAATAGTCTGATAATTTGGGGTAGAGAGTTCACAGAGGACGGGGGAAGCTCTGGAGATGAGCATGGAGGAGGAGACAAGGGAGCTAGAGAGCAGGAGGTCGTGCGAGGAGCTCGGAGAGTACGGTTTGGGTGATATTTGGAGACAAGATCGGTGATGTGAAATTGGGGCAAGAGTTATAAATGGCTTTTATATGTTTTGTTAGTGTTTTGAAAATTTCTCCATTTGGGCAATGGGAAGCCAGTGGAAGGGGATTGGCATAGAGGGTTGGAGGACACAGTCCCGCAAGAGTGGAGGCCAGTGGAGGGATTGGCAGAGAGGGGTAGTGAGGACACTGAGTGGAGGCAAGTGAAGGGATTTGCAGAGGAGGGGAGAGAGGACACTGATATGGAGGCTAGGTGAAGGGATTGGGCAGAGAGAGGTTGGAGGACACTGGAATGGAAGGCCAGTGGAGAGGGATTGGCAAAGAGAGGTGGACAGGACACTAGAGTGGAGGACAGTGGACATGGAGGGATTGGCAGATAGGGATGGCTGATACAGAATGTTTTGTAAGGTGGATGATATCAGCATCATTCATGATATAGACTGAAGAAGGATAGCCTGCAATGAGGTCGGCCAGTGAGAGGGAGTTACAATAGTCGAGGCGTGATATAACAAGGAGTGAATAAGTTGCTTAGTGGTTCCTCCGAGGTTAGGAACGGCCATAATCATGGAGCTGTTGTGAGGTGAAGTCTACAAGATTTGGGACAGTGATTGGATTTTGGGGCTGAAATGACAGATGGGGAGTCTGAGGATTACACCTAGCACCCTGGCATGAGAGCAGGGAGGGACTGATGGTTTGTGTTATTGATCTTGATGGAGAAGTCAGGGAAGGTGGGGCACAGTCCTTGGGGCAATACTAAGAGCTCAGTTTTTGGAAATATTTGAGATTTGAGGAAGTGGAGTGACATCCATGCCGATAATGTCACGTTAGTAGGGTAGTAATGGCGAAAGGAAGTACTGAAGGGGTTGAGTGTGGAGGAGACTGAAGGGGTGAGGTGAGGGGTAAAAAGATAGATTTGTGTGTCATCAGGATAGAGATGGTACTTAAAGCCATGGAGTTTTATCAAGTAACCAAGGGAGGAGGTGTAGAGATGGAGAAGAGTAGGGGTCCAAGGACAGAACCTGGAGGGACCCCTACAGAAAGAGGAAGTGAAGAGGAGGAGGCAGAGTAAAGGTAACGCTTGAATGAGCTCTGTGATGAGGTAGGAGTGAGACACCAGGAAGAGCGCAGAGTCTTGGAGGCCAGAGAGTGGAGTTTTTTTTGAGGAGGAAGGGATGGTCAAGCGGGATTACAAAAGCTGCAGAGAGGTCATGTAGTAAGAGTAAATTGGTTGTGGATCAGTGGCCATTGGTTGGGATGAGTACGGAGTAGTGGCTATTGGTTGGGATGAGTACGGAGTAGTGGCCATTGGTTGGGATGAGTACGGAGTAGTGGCCATTATGGTTGGGATGAGTACGGAGTAGTGGCCATTGGTTGGGATGAGTACAGAGTAGTGGCCATTGGTTTTTAGCATTTGGTTGGGATTCATAGATCATTAGTGAGATTTTAGTAGTTTTAGAAGGGTTTTCAGTGGAGTGGAGTGAGGGAAAGCCAGACTGTAAAGGTTCGAGAAGGTTGTGTGTCGGTGAGATGGGAGCTCAGTGATTGTAAGACTAAGAGTTTCTAATAGTTTAGAGGTAAAATGGCAGCAGGGGAGATATAGGTCTTAAGTTGTTCAGGTTGGTGGGGTCCAGCGAGAGCATTTTTATTAAAGTATGGGGAGTGATATGCGCATGCTTTAGAGGGGTAGTGGAAGGCACCAGTAAAGAGGGAGAGATTGAAGATGTGAGTGAGGGAGCATAGGATGGAAGAAGAGGGTGACCGTAGTAATTGTGAGTGGACAGGATCCAGGGAGCAGGTAGTGAGACGGGCTTCTGAGAGAACCTTAGTGACCTCTTCGGAGTAGCAAGGTCAGAAGAGGGAAAGTGTTGAGGGAGGTTTAGTATAAGGTATGGCTAAGTGGGATGGATGTCTGTGCAGTGGAGATGCCCCGATTGAATTGCATCAATCTTGTTTTTGAAATGATTTGCAATCTCGTGAGCAGTATGAGTGAGGTACTGGGTGGAGGTGGAGAAAGTAGAGAGTTTAGAAGTAGAGAAGAGACGACGAGGACTGGATGACAAGCTATTGATGAGAGTGACAAAGTAGGCTTGTCTGGCAGCATGGAGGGAGGAATTGTATGTGAAAAAAGCAGATTTATATCGGGTGAATGCTTGTGGGATTTGGTTTTAACAACACCACATTCGCTCCAGCACACGACTATGTCGTTTAAGATCTCTGGTGTTGTCAGTCTGCCAAGGTTGTAAAGGTCGGGGCCTGATGCTTCGTTTTGGTTAGAGGAGCAAGTGAGTCTAATGTGGATGAAAGTGAACTGTGGTAGACAGCAGTGGCCAGGTCAGGGCAGGACAGGGGAGAGATTCTGTCATAGAGTTGGTCAGTTTGCAGAGTGGAAGGGAGAAGGGTTCAAGTTGTGAAGGTTTCTGCAGGTGATTGCTGATTGGAGGGATAAGTTTTGAAGATGAGGAGACTGTGAAGGTGATGAGAATTTGTGATCATAGAGAGGAAAGGGGGTGTTTGTGAGGTTGTAGGATATCCTCTCATGGGTGGACAACCTTTCAGGCAGGTCTGTCTGTGACACCAGCTAGAAAGAAGTCTCTGTTCAGTGAAAAACATCCCAAGCTGATGCAGGCCTTCCAATACTGAGTTACTGCTGATTTAGGGGATGTATTCAGCAGTAAAACGTAAGCCCAGCTGGCCACTACTTGTGTTCCATGTGGTTCTGCCAAATGGGATTCCATCAGGTGAAGATCAGAAATCCTTGTTCCGAATGTCTTTTTCTCTTTCCCAGCTATTACTCCTCTCCATAGACTAATCACACAATACAACTGCCAGAGATCTGAACTTACAAAGTGCTGAGTGTGCGGTCATATTCCTACCACTTCTTTCTGCCGGGGGACCGACATTCCCTCTGATTGGGGTTCACAATAATCACTCTGAGTGCACACATCTCTTTTTGGTGGAAAGTTTGTAAAGAAAACTTCTTCTCCCTGGAAATATTACAACGTTTAAGGCACCAAAGTGTAACTATGGGCAAAATAACACTAATGACATTAATAATGAAATATCTGTCATTAGCAGAGCAGGTTTTGCTTTTCTCGAGTCTCCTATTGTTTTATTTTTTTGTTTGTCCCTCCCAGTAGATTTTTTTTGTCTACTTCCTGTAGAAGGCCAAGTCTTTTGGGAAAAATGGCAGTTGGAGTTGTTGGGGCAAATCCTATAACACTGCTGGGGGTGCTCACAACTGTCCAGTTGTCATTCATATGGGGGGTTGGACCTTATAGAGAACCTGTTGCTGTAACTGCTGTAGAAGCGTTAGCTGAAGTTGGGCTTTACTTGTTTGTGTGTCTTATAATCTATCTAAGACTTCCCTGTAACAGGGTGACAACGCTGCTGTGTAATGTTCCTGCAGAATGATCAGGGTTGTCACTCTGTTACAGAAGGTGGGAAAATAACAGATGTACAGACAGGACCAACAGCTGATACAACTATGTTGCAGAGGGAACTCTGGGAATGCTAATGACAGATTGCATTACACATTCAGTTAGCAGACTTCCTGCTGTTGGTCTGATGTTTGAATTGTTCTGATATTTACTGTCCTGCTGTAAAAGGTGTAAATGATCGCCCGCATGTTTCCTGTAGTAGCAGGGACTACAAACTCACATATCAGGAATAGTAGGATGGCTACCTACCCAAAGGGGTCACCTTGTTGGATTTGGGGGAAACATTTCACATGGTCTCTTTCCATTATTGACACCGAAAAGGGGAGTCTCACTTCACTAACAATAGGAGAGCCAATCAGAGGCCAGTAACATTTCATG